AAAAAGACCATTTAAGATTCATGTTACAAAATGCAGTTTAAATGAATGCAGCATAAACAAATGTAACACACCTTTACATAGTTAAGTAATATTCCACAACATAAACAAATGTAACACATTTTTAGGTAGTTAAAGTCATATTCCACAACATTCTCCCCTTTTTGTCTAAATAAAAAGGAAAGGTTTTAACTTTAATATAGTAAAACTATATACAATAAGAACAATTATCAAGTAACAATTACATTTACAATATCCAATCCATTTGTATTTGACAAATTCAGAGAAAATACTCCATTATTTATCCCATCTTGGTGAGTCCAAAGTTTTGTACCTAATTTACCTTCTCCTATAATTAAGGAAAACTAACTTTAACTATCTGGTCTTCAACTCCATCAAAGACCCCAGAAGGTTATTTTATTACCTGAATAAAAAGGAAGTGCAGTGCAAGACACTTCCAAAACTATAGAAATGACAGAGACATCTGGCTGCCTGGACAGTCACCCAAGGTTCCTCTGCAACATTGGGGCATCCATCTTCAGCCTACAGGTCTAGAATATCTGGCAGACTTTTCTATGAAGCAGGATATTTGATAGACTATTCTCCCTTATTTTGGCAAAGTTCAGCAGGTGCTTTCCTTTGTGTCCTGCATGTCCAGTTTGGACAGTATAATGTCAGCAGTTGAGGCAAGGACAGTTTCATGTCCAAATGGCTAGCTTTGCCACATTGAAAGCAAACTCCATATGGAGGTTCTTCGATGCCCATCATCCTTTCTGAAGTAAATGGTGCTACCAGGACCAGATGTATCTCACTGTCATGAAAAGCCTTAGGTTATTAAACATCTTAAATGTCATATTCTGTAAGTCTCTGAAGCATTTGAAGTGCATCTATCTAAAATATATCTTTTTAACCTTGAAAATATACCTAATATGACAAGTTTAATTACTAGAGATGACTACTAACCTACATTTCTTAATTAAACATTATATTTTTAAATGAACTGCATAAGCACAGTACCTCAAACAAAAGTAGAAATGTATATATAGTATAACAAAATAACTTTAAATTTGTATCAATATATCAAAATCCATACCAATGTAAAATATTTGAAGTTAATAGCTGTCTTTTTATCCTATATTCTTATATCCCCACTAAACAATGACAAACATCCATAACCCACCAAATGACCAAAAACCACCCACCACACCTCTAGGGAATGTGGGCATTGTGTTCTCTAGACTGCTTCCTATTGCCTGAGGGAGATGGCATCTTTAGGGGACCCTGAAAAAATTGACACAATGGTCAAGTCCTGGGAAAACTAGTTGTAACATTTGTTGTACAATCTCTGAACTGTTGCCATGCAGAGGGATCAGTATATACAGAACCTGTCTTATCATTTTTCTTGGTTTATTTCTTTGTGTCTGTAACCAAGATTTTCAGGAGGTCTCCCCCATCAAACCTGATGTCTATTAACCTTGAAGGAATCCACAGCCTTTTGTTTCCTATGGAAACAAAAGCATAACCTCTTCCCCAACACATTATCTGAATTCCATTTGAAAGTTAAGGTATTTCTAAAGTATCTAGGCTGGTTTAATTCAGCAATCCCTTTTACAATCCCATGTCTCTCAGCAGCTGTCAGCATTCAAAAACATTCAAAGTCAACACAACACCATACAGGACCCAAGACTCCCTGTGTATTTCCCATCTTTATGTAGCTTTTTTCTTATGTATCACTTTGCTCTCTCTTTAAAGACTCTACTGATTATTTTTAAACTATTTTTTCCTATGACTGTCTAACTCATTTTTTTTCCTTAAGCCTACACACATTTTTAAACACACTGTAACCTGTTTAGAAGTTTTTCCCATCTGGACCCATCTTTACTGAGTGTCTCTAGCCTTTTCTGACTTCGTGAGCCAGATCTTAAACTGTTAAACAGCTTTGCACTGGCAGCTTGCTCCACCCTGCTCAGGTCTATGAAAGCCAAGCTTTATACCCCTTGAGCCTGGCTGAGAGCTGCATTCAGCTGGAAGCTGTTTCTAACTGCCCTAGCTCTAGGAAGCTGGTGCCTGCACTGTGGCAGGCATTTTTACTTAGCTTTTTGTTTCTATTTAATGTGCTACTCAAGTGCTCACTGTATGGCAGAGTCTATTAAAGGAGCTATATCCATTTTGTTTTGTTTTGTTTTGTTTTGTTTTTCAACTTTCTTAGGCCTTATGTGGAAATTTGGGCCCCACATTGGAATGCCAAATGTAACAGGCTTTCTTTTGGGTCACCAACCAGTCCCAAATCATGACACAGAGACTTCTTATTACTTATGAATGCACAACCTTGGCTTATGCTCATATCTGGCTTGCTTCTTTTCTTTAACTTAAATTAACCTGTTTCTCTTCATCTTTGTTTTGCCTTGGGGCTTTTTACCTTTCTTTCATTCTGTATGTCCTACTATGTGTCTGCCTGGCTGGCTAGTCCCAGGGATCTCCCTCTCTTCCTCCCTCTCTTTCTCCCTCATTCTCTCCTCTTGTTATCTTTTCTCTGGAGCCTAGATTTCTCCTCCTATTTATTCTCTCTGCCTGCAAGCCCCACCTATCCCTCTGCTGCCTAGCTATTGGCCATTCAGCTTTTTATTAGACCAAGCAGGTGCCCTTAAGCGGGCAAGGTAAAACAGCAACACATCTTCACATAGTTAAACAAATGCAGCATAAACAAATGTAACACACCTTTCATAGTTAAAATAATATTCTGCAACACTGGGTATTGTTCATCATGCACTGCCCCCCTTGCGTTTTGAGATAGGGTCTCTCATTGGCCTGGAACTCACCAGGTACACTAGTGAGACTGGCCTATGAGCCAGAGGCTTACCTGTTTCACCCTCCCTTAGTGCTAACCATCACACCTAGCTTTTTTATGTAGTTTCTAAGGATTAAACCCAGGTCCTCATGGGCAGGTGAGATGATTCAGTGAGTAAAGGCATGTGCTATTAATCCGGACTATCTGAGTCCCCAGGACTGACATGGTCGAAGGAAAAAAACCAACTCCTACAGCTGTCCTCTGACTTACACATGCACTATATGGTACATGCATCCCTACCCCTGATAAGTAAACTAAGGTCTTCAAAAAAGAAAAAGTAAGTTGGTTGGTAGGTGTATAAGAATTCATTACTCTATTTCCTCTACTTTTTCTTGATTTATTTTACTTCTGGAGACAGTCTCATGTAGCCCAGTCTGGCCTGAAACTTACCTGTATAGCCAAGAATGACTTGCACTTCTGATCTTCCTGTCTCCATCTCCCAAACGCTGTCATTAGAGTGCACCACCACACTTCTGATCTTCCTGTCTCTGTTCCCAAACGCTGTCATTACAGAGTGCACCACCACACTTCTGATCTTCCTGTCTCTATCCCCCAAACGCTGTCATTAGAGTGCACCCCATACCTTGCTTTACTTTACCGTCCTGGCCTCGTGCATGTCAGGTGTGCACTCTGCCTTGCACCTGAGCTACATTCCCAGTCTCCTATTTTGATATTGTTTTAAGATTTTTTTAAGATTTTTTTTTAAGGGCTGGAAAGATGGCTCAGTGATTAAGAACACTTCCTGCCTTTTCAGAGGGCCAGGGATCAGTTCCCAGCACCCATATAGGACAGCTCACAACCACCGTATCTCCAGTTATTCTAACCACCATGCCACCTGCATACACATGTTGCACATACATACAGTCACATATGTGTACACATGTATACATATAAAATAATTTTACTTTTGCCAGGCAGTGGTGGCACACACCTTTAATCCCAGCACTTGGGAGGCAGAGAAACAGGCAGATCTCTGTGAGTTCAAGGCCAGCCTTGTCTACAAAGTGAGTTCTAGGCCAGCCAGGGCTGTTACACAGAGAACCCTGTCTCAAAACAAATTTGTTTGTTTGTTGTTGTTTTTTTGTTTTTTTGTTGTTGTTGTTTTGTTTTGTTTTTTCGAGACAGGGTTTCTCCGTGTAGCTTTGCGCCTCTCCTGGAACTCACTTGGTAGCCCAGGCTGGCCTCGAACTCACAGAGATCCACCTGGCTCTGCCTCCCGAGTGCTGGGATTAAAGGCGTGCACCACCACCGCCCGGCTGTTTGTTTGTTTTTGAGGCAGTGTTTCTCTGTGTAGTTTTGGTGACTGTCCTGGATCTCGCTCTGTAAACCAAGCTGGCCTCGAATTCACAGAGATACGCCTGGCTCTGCCTCCCAGTGCTGGGATTAAAGGCGTGTGCCACCATCGCCCAGCTCAAAACAAAATTTTCCTTTATTCTTTTTACTTATGTGTAGGTGTGTGTGCTTGTACGTGGGTCTGTGAATGTAAGTGTACTTGAGTGCAGGCATCTGATCCCCTAGAGCTGGAGTTACAGGTGATTATGAACTGCTGGATGTGCTAAGAACCAAACTTGGGTCCTGTGGAAGAGCAGCAAGTGCTCTTAACCACTGAGCCAGCTCTTTAAAAGAGAGAATAGCTGGAAAGTGGTGGCGCATGCCTTTAATCCCAGCACTCATGAGTCATAGGCAGGCTGATCTCTGTGAATTTGAGGCCAGCCTGGTCTACAGAGCAAGTTCCAGGATAGCCAGAGCTACACAGAGAAACCCTGTCTCAAAAAACAAAAAAAAAAAAAAAAAAAACAGAGAAAGAGAGTAAACTAAAAGAAAATAATGGAACACCATTACTATTCGAATATGACTTGGAAAACTAGGCATGGAATCCTAGTCTCAGGAGTCTGAGGCAGGAGGATCCTTGAGTTCCAGGCTAATCTGGACTACAACGTGAGACCCTGTTTGGGTTTTGTTTATTTTTGTAATGCCAGGTATAGTGGTGTAGGCCTATAATCCCAGTACTTGGAAGATGGAGGCAAGGTCAGGAGTTTAGGGTAAGCCTTAGCTATACAGTGAGTTGAAGACCAGTCTGGGCTATGTGAGACTCTGCTCAACAAAAAAAGGGGGGGGGGGTGGGGGGGAGTGGGGAATGGAAGACACATAAGCATTTGTCTTATCATTCTGGTATGAACTTTATTTCAGGGCAACTAAATGTTCATATTAAGTTTTTCTGTACAGATTTAGAGCTAATAAATAAAAATGTACTAATAGTGCCAGAAAAATCATAGTTTTTTAGTCCCAGTGAATTTCAGTGGATGGTAAAATAACTTGGTAAAAAGTTGGTGGGAAAGTTTGCGGTGCAGGAATCAGGGTGTCACCATCTGAAACTGGAAGAAGTATGGGGCCTGACATGAACAGGGAGGAGGAAAGCTGTCCAACCAGGAATATCTGTGCTCTGTGGAATTAGTGAAAAATAGGTCTTATATTGTGTTAAGTCACTGAAATATGAGAGCAAGTCATGATAGAAGTTAGTTTACTATCAAAGTATAACATATATACATATTAAAACATGTAAAAGCCCAGAATCATACACGTACACACATGCACAAACACATACGCATATATATTTAAAGATACGTTTTCAAACATATATTGACACATTTGAGTGTATGCCTATGCCCAAGAGAAGACTGAGATGAGAAATCAGGAACTAAAAAAAGAAAAAAACCGGATCTAGTATCAACAATAATTAATCACTAAGGAATAAAAAACATTTAAAAAGGAGACGTACGTGTGTGTGTGTGTGTGTGTGTGTGTGTGTGTGTGTGTGTGTGTGTGTGTGTGTGTGTCCGCACTTCCCAGGGAGAGCCTGGGTTAGTCTGCTAGGAGTGTAATTACCTCTGCCTGGAGAAGAAGGAGCACACAGTGGTACTGGAAAGGAGAAATTGTCAGGGAGCCAGCCTGCAGAAACCCTCCACCTTGGTCACCAGACTACAGGCTTTAAAAAGCCTGAGGATTCTCACCCAAGTCTGACTCCTTTTCTGAGGCTGGCCCCAAACTTGCAACCTGCCTGCCCCAGCCCCCTGAGAGCTAGGATTTCCAGCATGTGCCAGCATGCCCAGCCTAACTGGTTTTTAAGCCACTAGAGTTTGTGGTAATCCATTACATCAGCAACAGCAAACCAATACACTGCCTGATCTCCTAGGAGAATGTGAAAAGAGTGACTGAGGGGGTGAAGTGGGGAGCCATGGATTTCATGAAAGGCCATACAGTCACATTGGCTTTCATCTGTACCATAGCTTATTTGTTACTTATCTGAAATTAGCAATTATCTATCCAACAATATGTTAGTAACAACGGGTTGTTTATAGGATTAAGAAACAATGTTTTAAAATGCTTAAGTACAAACCAGGTTAATTTTCTTTTTATACATTACATTTCCTTGTGGGCTTATACATATTCATTATCTTTGAATGTGTGTAATTGAATACTCAGCATGTACCGGGCACCATACCCACAATGAGCTTGTGTTCACTGTAACCCCAAATATTTCTAACTGACACTGCCACTCAGCTTCCATTCAACCTAAGGTTTAGCCTCACCACCACTACCACCACCACTCCCAGCTCCCTCCAAATACACACCGAACACCTGACCTCTCCCATGGTCTCATGTCACCTGGACAGATGGATTCAGTCTGGCCAGACCCATCTTCCCCTCCCAGGTCCTGTTTCCCCAGCTACCATCTTTCCATTAGTGAGTTCTGAGAAAAGCCCCAGCACCCTCGGAGAGCAGTGTGCTTCCTCTGCTCAGACTCTCATCATCCTTGTCTCTCTGCATCTCTCAGCTCTCCCCACTTCTCTGAGCTCCCAAACAGCTCCTCCCTATAAAAGTCCACACTCACAGGACAGCCGAGCCTCCCCCAGGCAGCCTAGAGGCATGTAGGAAGGACAAGGGATACATTTTCTGTGGCTCTAGGACTCCTCAGATGATGAAATGGGGTCTAAAGGTATTAAGACAGGATACCCAAAGCCAAGTGTGGTGGCTCACACTTGTAATTCCAGCACTCAGGAAGCTGAGGCAGAAGGATTGCTCACATGTTCCAGGCCAGCTATGTAGCTAAAGATGACTTTGAACTCCACCTGTCAAGTGCTGGGATTACAGGCTAGGTGTGTGCCATCATACCCAGGTAGGTCTCAAATCTTAAGATGAGGAAAATAGTTTTCAATTCCTTTGCATTGGCGTATTGACTGGGCAGTGTGACTAAGATGGAACTGTGGGTTTGCAGAGAGGCAGTAGGTTCTCTAACATAGCCATTGCTACAGTTTCACAACAGGTAGAACTGGACAAACCTATGCCATCTCTCAGCCTAATCCTCTGTGCAGTGGTGGGTGCGGGGGAGGGCTGATCTAAAAGGCTAGGCTGAATTACATTTAAACTTAGAGATTTCACCCAGCAACTCCAGCAATGTTGCATAATGGCCACAAGGGGGCAGGCAACCTCTTCAGCCCCTGTGTTTATAGCTGATGAAATGTAACTCAGAAAAGGAATACAACAGCTTCAAAGAGGAAAAGTGGCTGGGAGTCCAAGGAACACTACAGATGGCTCAGAGTGTGGACTGGAACAGGGCATCTGAAATTCCAGTCTGAGGAAAAGAAAGCAGGAGTCCTGGAGCTATGGGGCACAGTAAGGAGAGGTCTGAGTCCAGAGCTATGGGACATGGTAAGGAGAGGGTCTGCTGAGTCCAGAGCTGTGGGGTACAGCAAGGAGAGATCTGAGTCCAAAGCTATGGGGTACAGTAAGGAGAGATCTGAGTCCAGAGCTATGGGGTACAATAAGGAGAGGTCTGAGTCCAGAGCTATGGGGCATGGTAAGGAAGTCTGGCAATAGTGGAGAGGAAACTGAGGTGACTGTAGAAATAGCGACCACTTTGAGAAGAGCCAGAGGCTGAACTGCTGTAGGATTTGGTGGTTGCAAAACTACTGAGGCATTGGGGCTGGGGAGACAGGATAGTAGACACACACAATCAACTTGGCTACCTCCCCTTCCCCAACATGGAATTCTGAAAAGCAGAAAACGGCTGTTTTGGGGAATACTCCTCCAACTCAGGAGGGTCCTGAACAAAGATCGCCCTTTCCCCTCCAGTAATCCAATTTCAGGGCCCTGGAAAGACAGGGCAGTTACCTGGGACTCAAAGGGTTAATCTCCAAGAAGTCACTCAGGTTTCTTTGTTTTTGTTTTGTTAATTTGGGTTTTGGTTTTTGGAGACAGGGTTTCTCTGTGTAGCCCTGGCTGTCCTAGAACTCGCTCTGTAGACCAGACTAGCCTCAAACTCACAGAGATCCAACTGCGTCTGCCTCCCAAGTGCTGGGATTAAAGGCGTGTGCCACCACCAGCTGGCTCTTTGATTGTTTTTTGAGACTGGGTCTCACTATGTATATAGCCTTGTCTGGCCTGGAACTCATAGAGATCCACCTGCCTCTGCCTTCTGAGTGCAGGGCTTATTTGTTTAGTTATTAACCACAGCCTTTGTGGTCCCCTTCTCTGGGCCTGCCTCCTCCCTGAGCCCCAGAGGGCAATTTCCCTGAATTTCTTATCTGGTGTAATTAGCTAGGGCCTTGGGATCCAACCCTACAGCCACTCCCAATTATCCCTTAAGTCAGGAGTCACGGGCTTGCCCTGAAGGACTTTCCATCTCTTCCCCCTGATGAGACCCAGGGACCACAGGACCTGTCTTTTCCTGCCACACTCCCACACCTAGCTCAGACAAGGGACTTCCTTGTGTCTCAACTTCAGAAAGGTATTCTTATGACCAAATGGTGGAAGGCTGGCCAGGATGAGGGAAGGGTGAGCACAGAGTCAGAGAGGACAAGATCATCCCACCATCTGAGAGTGTCCCCAGAACTCTGAGAACTCACTCTTCTTATTTCCAAACAACAGTGGGATGAGAGGCACATAAAAATGCAGAAGCCTAAAGAGGGAACTGAGAAGACACTCAAGCTGAACTCCTGGCAGACAGATTTGGAAGCAGGAAACAGGGATGGGGCAGGCCAGGACCAGGGCCAGATAGGGGTCTGCAGTAAAGTGAGCCAAGCAGATTTGAGAGCTGAGGTGAAGGCCTCTGAGTTTCTCACTCGATAAGAGTATCATTACAGCACCAAACAGGGATGTAGCCACAGAAGTGAGATCCTTGAGAAAAAAATGAAAACATCATGTTTGAAAAGTAAGAACTTGAGAAAAGCATGACAGACATCTGTAGGAAGAGCGATGTGTTCCCTCTCGTAAGAGGCAATGGCAGACAACAGGGACCCGAATACCCTCTATACAGACCTATCACACACCAACTGGGACTGTACAGAGGAATACCCTCTATACAGACCTATCACACACCAACCGGGACTGTACAGAGGAAGCAAAGCACTCTTGGTGTATCATAAAAGGAAATCACATCACTCAGCAGGCAGGAAAAGGTTGGTCTCCTAACTCCAAAGGCATCTAGAAGGGCCAATCCATGGAAGTTTGGCCCCGAATGTCCCTCCTCAATTCTCCATTTTTTGTAAGAGGCATCCCAGGCTCCCAGGCTTTGGATGAGGTGATTATTCCCCCATCTCTTCTTCAGTGATGTCCTAGAGGCCCTAGATTTCATAAAACTTCACCTTACCAGGGAGGGGCATGGAGATACCCTTACATCAGGAGCCACAGACTAGGTCTCTAGAGTCAATATCTCTATGGAAATAGCTCTAGGGACCCAATAATTGAGGGATAAATGCAGAGGCTCCCCAGGGACCAGAGAGAGAAGCCAGATTTCTGTGGTAAGTGATTTCAGTATAGCTTCTGTCTAGTCGGAGGTTGAGGGGAAATTGAGGGAGGCTTGGGCCAAAAGTTGAATGAGCCACAAAGCACAAAAAGGTAAAAGCTTTTACAAGAAGGTCACATCATCCTGGCACTGTCCCCAGTACCAATGAGCCTCAAAGCCCTGCTTGGCATTGTCGTCCTCTGATAGCTCGGGTGGTCCACCTTGAAGCCCATCTCCTGGGAGCTTCCATGTAGCTGTTAAGCTCCCTAGCGTGGTGGATGTCATGTCCACCTCAGTCCTGGCCCTGTCTTCATTGGGTATAACCTTTGCCCAGTCAATCTCAGGACAGGAAGGCCCAGGGGGTCCTTGTTCATCCAGCTCTCTGGGAGCAACAGTGTCCAAGAAGCTGCCGATAGAGACACTGTCTAGCCGGTCAGTTGAGCTGGTATCTGGCAGGCTGTCCCAACTTCCCCGCCTTGAGCGGCCCGGGCTTCCACCTGTCAGGCTATACTGACTGCTGGTGAGACTGCTACAATGGCTGGTCAGTGTTCCCCGCTCCTCCAGCAGCCAACGAACTGCCTCAATACCCTCATTCAAGGTCACCAGCTGCTGCAGGATCTTCACATCAATAGCTCGAAGGTAAGCCTGAAGAAGTGAGAAAAGAAATTAGTTCCAGGTTCTAGGCTTTGAGTTTCCCAGGTCTTTCCCTAACCTTGTGGCCCAGCCAGCCATGCTTCACTTTTTAAAAACATAGACAGCCAGCCAGGCAGTGGTGGCACATGCCTTTAATCCCAGCACTTGGGAGGCAGAGGCAGATGGATCTCTGTGAGTTCAAGGCCAGCCTGGTCTACAGAGCTAGTTCTAGGACAGCCAAGCCAGGGCTACACAGAGAAATGCTGTCTCAAAAACAAACAAAACAACAAATTATTCACTTTACAGCATGGGAGCAAGGATTTTGAAATGTGGTCCATTGTGTATTTTCTACAGTGGGGTCTTAGTAGATGTTAAACATTAAAATATATGACTAGGGAGACTGCACATGTGGTTCAGTGGAGTGAACACTTGCCTAGGAGGCACTAAGCCCTGGGTTCCCTAACACCCAATAAACTAGGTGTGGTGATGCACATTTGTAATCCAGGCACTTAGGAGATGGAAGCAGGAGGGTCAGAAATTCAAGGTCATTCTCAGCTATGTCAGCAGTTCAAGATTAGCCTGAACTTCATGGGACCCTGTTTCAAAATTAATGAAATAAAATAAGACAAGACTTGTGGAATATTCTTTTACACTGTGTGAATATATGCCACTGTGATTGGGTTATAAAGAAGCTGACTGGCCAATAGCTGGACAGGTAGAGGCTAAGTGGGACTTGAGACAAAAGAAGAGCATGAAGAAGGGGAGTAGTATCAGAATTGAGAGGAGACTCAGAGAGAAGGAGATGAACTTGCTGTACTGAGAAAAGGTACCAAGCCACGTGGCAAAGCATAGATAAGAAATATGGGTTAGTTTAAAATGTAAGAGTTAGCTGGTAACAAGCCTGAGCTATTGGCCGAGCATTTATAATTAATAATAAGTCTCTGAATGGTTATGGAGTGGCTGCTGAGACACAGAGAAACTCCACCTACAAAGACTGGTTGTGATGGCTTATGCCTATAACTCTAGCACTTAAGAGGCTGAGGAAACACCTGGGAGGCAAAGACAGGCAGATCTCTGAGTTCAAGGCCAGCCTGGTCAATAGTATTCCAGGATAGCCAGGGCTACACAGTGAAACCCTATCTTGAAAACAAAACAAAACAAAAATCAAAGAAGCAGACAAAAAAAGGCTGAGGTAGGAGGAACAAGAATTTAAAGGCAGGGACTAGAGAGATGCCTCATTAGTTGTTTGCTGCTTTCGCAGAGGACTGGAGTTTGGTTCCAGTGCTCATATGAAGTGACTTACAACTTCCTATAAACTACAGCTCCCAAAAAATCCAATTCCCTCTTCGGACCTTTATAGGCACAAACATGCATATACATATAAATAAAAATAATAAACATTTTCAAAACTTTAAAGGAGTTTGAGGCTATCGTGAGATCTCTTTTCAAAAACTAACAAATCCAGGCCGAGCCCCATGTAGCATACCTTTAATCACAGTACTTTCAAAGCAGAGGCAGGCAGATCTTTGTGAGTTCGAGACCAGCCTGATCAACATAGGGAGTTCCAGGACAGCCAGAGCTACATAGTGAGACCCTGTCTCAAAAAAACAAAAACAAAAACAAACAAATAAACAAAAAAACCTAACAAATCCAGAGTTAGAGTTAATGCAGAGTACCTGCCTAGCAACACACACACACACACACACACACACACACAAATCCAAAATCCATTCTGACTGGGCTTCAAATTTCCTATTCAAGGTAAACTGTTGGGAGATATTTGATCATACACTGTGAACCCTGAATTTGCATTTGCATTGATTTAAATAAAAGCAACCTTGGGTCAGGAGACTGAGTTAGCAACTAGTTGACAGAGGGCATCCGGGAGAGATAAAGAGACACAGGAAGTAGTAGGGAGGGATTTGGAGTGCCACAGCTTTTTGGGGGTTGGCAGAGCAGAAGCACAGGTCTTTCGGAGATGACAGCAGGGAAAGATTAGCTAGTTGTGACCCAGCCTCTCTGAGCTAGGTTTTCACCCCAGCCTTTGAATCTTAAGTTTGATTTATAAATAGAATGATAGAGATTTAATTAAGGTTTAGCGGCAGCAACAGCTAGTGCCTGCAGGAACAGAATCCCCAGCAGGCTGTGGTCTGAGCGGCCAGGCGGCTGCTCGAGAAGCAGGCTGTGGAGCTGCAGTTGCTGGCTGAAATAGCAGTAGATTAAGGCCCAGCCACTGTGCGAAGTTAAAAACAACAGTGAGGTATTAAATCAATCCAGACTCCCCAGTATGACTTAGAAACCAGAGGCTGGCTAGTAAGGTTTCAGCTGGGAAACAGTTTGGGCCAAAAGGAGATTGGCTCTGAGGAAGCAAGAGGGCACACTAACCTGGTTCCCTGTTCCCTAAAGATTGGTGACAAGGCCCAAGGGAAGAAGGGCTAGGCAGAGCTCAGGGTCAGAATCCCAATGGCTGGGCATTTGGGGCCTTTAGTCTCCCGGAAGTTAAGTGTGACCTACAGTGTAATCTCCAGGGGTCCCTCCCAGCTCAAGTGTACTGAGTTAACCTTTCTCAAGCACAAGTCTGAACCTGCCCCTGAGCTTTGCAGTGTTCAGAGAGAATAAACATAGCAGCAGCTGCATTCAAAAGCCTGTTATATTATGACCCTTGTCCATCTCTCTAGCTTCAAGTCTAGACACTTCTTTGTGAATCAAGATCTTGCCACAACATTGGTTGTTATTGTTTTTGTTTTGTTTTGTTTTTGAGGCAGGTCTCACTCTATATCCCTGGCTGGCCTGGAACTCACTATGTATGTCAGGCTGGCCTCAAACTCAGAGGGATCTGTTTGCCCCTGCCTCCTGAGTTCCGGGATTAAAGGGAGTGTGCCACCATACCTGGTACATTATTGCTTTTACGTTTAGATTTATTTTTTTAACTTTTTTTTTGTTTTTTGTTTGGTTTCTTTGAGACAAGTTCTCTCTGTGTAGTTTTGGTACCTGTTCTGGATCTCACGCTGTAGACCAGGCTGGCCTGGAACTCACAGAGATCCGCCTGGCTCTGCCTCCCAGAGTGCTGGGATTAAAGGTGTGCGCCGCCACTGCCCGACCGATGTTTATTTACTTTAACTTTTAACCAAACTAATACATTCATATAGAAATGGACCTGGTGGCAGAAGTTTGTCATCCCAGCTACTGAAGAGGTAGAGGCAGGATTGCAAATTCAAGGACATTCCAGACAACTGTTTTGTCTCAAATAAAAAGATATTTTTAAGAAGGACTTGGAAGGCCAGCAAGATGGCTTAGCAGGTAAGGACACTTGCCTCTGCCTTCCCAGTGCTATGACTAAAGATGTGTGCCGCAATGCATGGCTTCACTTCTTTTTTTTTTTAGATGTATTTATTGATTTATTTATTATGTATATAGTGATCTGCCTGTGTATATGCTTGCATTGCCAGAAAAGGGCACCAGATCTCATTACAGATGGTTGTGAGCCACCATGTGGTTGCTGGGAATTGAACTCAGAACCCCTGGAAGAACAGCCAGTGCTCTTAGCCTCTGAGCCATCTCTCCAGCCCCACATGGCTTCACTTCTTCTTGAAGAAGACCAGGGTTCGGTTCCCAGCACCCACGTGGTAGCTCGTAACAATCCTTAACTCCAGTTCCAGGGGATATGAAGCCCTCTTGTGATCTGTGCAGGCACCAGTCATGCATGTGGTCCACATGTATACATAAACAGGCAAAACACTCAAACATAGAAAAAAGGTAATAAATCTATAATTTAAAAAAAATTCCATGTGGCAAACGGTAGAGAAAACAATTGCTACTGAGAATTGTGAGTACCTGGAGGGCTATAACCCAAACCTAGATGAGAGACATGAGCTAAGGCTGGTTAGGCTGGACTTGATCCGTGGGTGGGGAGAAGCATTCCAGCCAGAGGATGTACTGTCCTCCAGTTCTAAGTGGGGAACACCTGATACCACATCACTCCAGGTCAGCTCTTCTGGGAGCAGGCCCTCGTTCCAGCATTTTTCCTCTTGAATTTCTTTTTTTTTTTTTTTAATTTTTTTTTTTAAGATTTATTTATTTATTATGTATACAGTGTTCTGCCTGCACACATCCCTGCAGGCCAGAAGAGGGCACCAGATCTCATTACAGATGGTTGTGAGCCACCATGTGGTTGCTGGGAATTGAACTCAGGACCTCTGGAAGAGCAGTTGGTACTCTTAACCTCTGAGCCATCTCTCCAGCCCCCTCTTGAATTTCTAATCCTGCTGCCTCACCTCTAGTGTGCTGGGATTACAGCCGTGCCACGCCACACCCAGTTTTATGTGGTGCTCAGGATTCAGCTCAGGGCTTTATGCATAAGGCAAGTAAAGACTCTCCATCTGAGCACATCCCTACCCCCAACAGCATTTCTCTTCCTGTACAAGCTTCAGTCTGTCCCCTCCTTCCGTACCCCAGGTCATCAGCTCCCTGAGAGCAGTTCCTGCCCAACTCATTTCAGGTTTTCTGCCGAAGGTTGCACAGAACACCTTTCGTTCAGTTCTGTGATTCTCAAGAAGCTGAGTTGTACTGTGTTGCTTAGGAAACCAACCCGAGCACCAGATTCTTTAATCCTGCGACAGTGGGATTCCCTGACTATGACAGCACCATCCCCCCAAGAATAGAAGCAAAAGGCTTCCTCCCCAGAAAAAGAAACACTCATTTCATACCATCTCTTTGGAAACAGAGCAGAAGATAAATAGAGGCCGCCCAGTGCTTTTCCCTGGAGGCTCCCTTCCCTTCCCCATATGTAGATTAGATTCTGCCCAGCCCAGATGTCCTGGGCAGGGCTCCCTCTTTGCTCAACCCAAATCAGGCCTCAGGTGAAAAGCCTGAAGACCAGTTTCTAGATCCCTGGTAATGTTGGGATTAACTATTGTCACTAAAATAAAAGTTCTTAACAGTTGTCTAGTTCCACAATTACTCCCTTGTTTCCTTTGTCAAAGGACAAAAACCATAAGAACACGGAAGAGACAGGGCCCTGCTTAAGACCAGAAAATACATCAGAAGTGGAGACAAAATCTGTACTCATGTCTTGCCCCATTCCTTGCCTCCTGCTTTCTCACAAACTGCTCTGCGGAGGTGGCTTCACATAGCAACAGCTCTTTGGGTGGACGGGGAGGTCGCCATTGCTTGCCATTCCCACACATCCGTCAGACTGGCTCTTCACTCAACTTCAGACTAGGGAACAAAGCAAGAGTAGGAAGCCAAAAGTAGGCTGACCTTGGCCTGAAGGGCAAGGCTCTGCTCCTCCACGAGGAGAGCAGAGAGAGAGGGACAGCTGAAGGACAGGCCTTAGAGGGCTTTGGTCAGTTCTGCCTTCCTGGCCCCAAATCTCCTGCCCTGCCCTTGTGCTTCTAATCTAGCAGTTAGAGCAGAGTACAAGAAGAAACCAGTGCTATCCTGTTCGGAGGAGGGGGAAAGGACCCTGACATGGACCTTCTCCTTCTGGTCTTCAAAACACTGTTTATGGGAAGCCTCAGACCCCAGGTCAGATAGGCCAAAAGTTAGAAGAGTTGAAAGCAGAAGTTAAATGTACTCCCCTAAAGTTTATAAAGAACAAGAGTCAGAGGTTAGGCCTGCCTCCAGATTTCCTGTATGAGAAGCAAGCCCACGGACATTTGAAACTTTTCTCATTTCAATGACATGAAATGTGCTTAAAGTATCTGGCACAAAGCAGGTTTTCATGATAAATGTGGTCAAGTGATCTGGGCTCAAATCTTGACTTTACTTTTGGAGGGGTTGTGGGCAACTGCTTACATTCATATATAAAATAGCACTTATCTAGCTGAGCGTCGTAGAGGGGATAGCAGGTAGGAGTAGTGGTACAGCTCAAGTGAGGAGCACTCACCTAGTGTGTGCAAAGCCCTAGGTTCAGCACCTCAAAGGGGGAAAATGCCACCAGAGAGACGGCTTAGCAGTCAGGAGCACTTGTTCTTGCAGAGGATCCGGGTTAGGTTCCCAGAACCCACACAGTGGCTCACAACCATCCGTAACTCCAGTTCCAAGGGGTTTGATGCCTTCTAACCTCCATGGGCAACAGGCATGCATGTGGTACACACACATCCATCCAGGCAAAATACTCCTACACAGAAAGTTTCTTAAAATTCTTTTAAAAAGAAAAATACCATGTATCATGCCGGACATTGATACATGGCTTATATTCTCAGTATAATTTAATTTCTAGCTGGGTATGGTGGCATATGCTCATAATCCCAGCCAGCACTCAAGAGACAAGAGGAATATGTGTTTGGGGGCCAGCCTGAGCTACATAGTGAGCCCATGTCTCAAAAGAAAACAACTTAGTTTTCAAAGGACAAACTAGGTAGGCTCTCCTCTCTATGCCTTGAGCAGTATGTACAATGAGGCAAACCTGGCCTCTTTCAGAGGTAAGTACAGTCACAGCCCTGCTCTGGAGAACTTGGCCAAGCACACACTTGGCATTCATATCCTGCCCCCAGGGATCCTCTCTGATCACGCATCCCAGGAGACTCTTAGCATAGAATGAGAGCCCTGGGCTGGCCTTGGAGGTCCTTTCTTCCTTCCACCCTTTCAGATCTGCTTGACCTAAGGTTGAGCACACAGTGGGACCCCAGGAAGACTGGAGCAGTCACTGTGGACTTCTGGTTCTGAGCCCACACATAAGCTGGCAATTCCTCAGTTCTCCAGAACCGGCTGCAAAGTGGTGGCAGGTGTAATTCATCTGTTTCACCGGAACCAGGGCCCTGCGGGGCCCGGCTGCCCTTTTGGCTCAGAATCTAGACTAACAGCTCCAGGGAAGGCGGGGTTCTGCTGTTTCCTTCTTCCCAAGAAGATTCAGGTGAGACCCTGGGAGTCTGAATCCCAGGTGAAGGGCCAACTCGGACTGTGTTGGTACTCTGTCTCTGTTAAGGTCTTAGAATGCTTAATACTATGACGGTGGGATGCTTACAAAAGGGACATGTTTTAGTGTACCTCTAATGCAGGCAGTTTCAGCAAGTATTACCTCACCAAAGCGCCTCCCCCTGCCCTCCCCCCAATCCTGACTTGAACACCCTGGGGCCTTAGGAAGAAACCTTTCCCCAGTTTGCCAGAGAAGGGGGTAGAAAACGGTTGCCTTATAATGGTGTATGAGCAAATTGGTGGCCCCGGGTGCCGATGGGAAGAATTTACTCTGAACTAAGTTTTTTTTTTTTTTTTTTTTACTGCTTAGCCTCCTTCCTCCCGATTATTGGGCAGGGAAAAGTTCCAAGAGCTGTGCCTCCTACTTCCAGTTCTCAGGATCTATCAACCCTTCACTCACCCTTGGGAGTGAGAGGTCATGAGGTAATGAGACATCACTTCTCTTCACTTTCAACCCAGGGTATATGGATTGATCTGGGAGGGACCCTCCTCAGCAGCCTAACTCCGGGAACCTGAGCCTGTCCCTACAAACGGCCTTATGCTGAGGACCCCGTCCCTGTCCCCGTGGCCTGTAGCACCCACACTCACCAGCTCCATCCTCAGCGCCATAATCTTGTCCCCCAGGCCGTGGCCGGTGCTGGGCGCCCCCGGGAGCAGCAGGTCCCCAGAGGTCCCCATCTCCCACTCTCCTCGAAGCCCGCGGAGCAGCCCTTCGGGGGTCTTCCTGCCCACCTTGCCCTCCACGTCTCGCAAGTCAGGCGTCTGGGACTCCGCGATCCCCTCCATGTGGGCCCAAGCCACAACAAGGCTGGGCGACCAGACGCAGAGGTCCAGTTCCCTAGGGTCCTCCCTTCTCTGCTGCGAACAGAGCGAAACCGGTGGGTCCCCGCCTGCGCCGCGCTGGGGGCAGGAGGAGGGCGCCGTAACGCTCAGAAAAGCCGCGCAGTCGGGTAGAGAAAAATACCGAGTGTTGCGCACACAACTTCTAGCCCTGGATGGCAAGCGACTGGAGTTGGAACTGAAAACCTCGAAGGGAGCTCAGTGCTTTCTCCCTACGTTGACGCCAGCTAAGCGCACAACAGGAAGCTAATAAATGTTTGCTGAACGAAAAGTAGACAGCCTCAGTCAGAGCTAACACGGCTGCAGAGGGTTTGGAAGTCTCTCTGCTAATAGCTGTGTCTGTTACGTGGGCTAGAATATAGCTGCTCAGCTCACAGACACCTCCCAGCGCCTAGAAATCAGATTGAAGGCGTGATAGGAGGTCAGTCCCCATGGCCAATGAGAAGAAAACATTAAAATTGAAGGGATACACACAGTCTTGATCTTGAGCTTACATGGGCTTACAAAAGAGGTGCTTCCTAAGCCTGACTAAGTATGGGTTATCTGAAAACCTTATGAAGTTAGGGCTTTTTTTTTTTGACAGAGAGGGTTTCACTGTGTGGTTCTGTCTGGCTTGGAACTTGCTATGTAAAGTAGGCTGACCTTGAAACTCAGAGATCCACCTCCCACTACCTCAATAGTACAGGGATTAAAGTCCTTTTTAAAGATTTATTTTCGATTTTAATTACATGTACATGTTCACATGAGTCGAGGGTGTGTGCACATGAGTACAGATGCCTAGATGCCACAGGAGGGCATCAGATCCCTGGAAGATGGATTTCACAGTTGTGAGCTGTGCAAAACGGGTTCTGGGAACTGAACCCAGGTCCTCTCTAAGAACAGTATGTGCCATCTCCAGCCCCGAGAGTTTGCATTTTTCTTTCTTTCTTTTTTTTTGGGGGGGGGGGGCGTGTTTCCAGACAGGGTTTCTCTGTGTAGTTTTGGTGCCTGTCCTGGATCTCACTCTGTAGACCAGGCTGGCCTCAAACTCACAGAGATCCACCTAGCTTGGAACTTGCTATGTAAAGTAGGCTGACCTTGAAACTCACAGAGATCCACCTCCCACTACCTCAATAGTACAGGGATTAAAGTCCTTTTTAAAGATTGCTGTGATTAAAAGTGTGCACCAGCGCCACCAGATGAAAGTTTGCATTTCTAAGGAGCTACGGTGGATGTGTTGTTTTCTGTGGCCCCCCAGTTGGGCTCCAAAATGTTATTTTTGTTCTTTTCTCTTAGCTCTTTTAGGGGACCCACCACCCAGCTACACAGCCAGCCATGGAGTAAGAGTGAAAGTAAGATATAGAGAAGAAAAGGAAAAAGCCCAGAGGCAAAAGATAGAGGGGATAATTAGTTAAGAAAAGCTGGCAAGAAACAAGCCAAGCTAATGCCAGGCATTTATAATTAAGAATAAGCCTCTGTGTGTGATTTATTTTGGAGCTGAGTGGCAGGCCCCCAAAGAGCTAAGAGAAAAGAGCAAAAACAAACAATAACAGCAATGGCCATGCTACTGCTCTGAGGACCACACTGAGTAACAACAAGGATGTATTTCTAAGCTGTTTGGACTTAATTCTACAGGTAAGGAGGGGCCATGAAAAACTGTTTTATTCTTTATGGGATTTTAATCCAAGTGCTTCCAGCCTACCATTACAGAAAGATTTACAATGAAAAAGTACCTCTTCCAGCCAGCGGTGGTGGCGCACGCCTTTAATCCCAGCACTTGGGAGGCAGAGGCAGGCGGATCTCTGTGAGTTTGAGGCCAACCCGGGCTACAGTGTGAGTTTCAGGAAAGACGCAAAGCTACACAGAGAAACCCTGTCTCGAAAAACCAAAAAAAAAAAAAAGAAGTACCTCTACTCTTTCACACCTCTGGGCCTACTTTCCCTTTGTTGTTGTAGTGTGTGTGTGTGTGTGTGTGTGTGTAAAACTACTCATAATTCTAGACTTTATTTACTACATGTATGTGTCTCTGTGTGGAATATACACATAAGTACAGGTTCCCCCACCCCAGGTCAGAAGAGGACCTTGGATCCCCTGGAGTTGGTTACTGGCAATTGTGAACCATCTGATACAGGTGTTAGGAACTGATCTCAGGTTCTACTGTAAGAGCAATATGTGCTCTTAACTGATAAGCCATCTCTCCAGTCCAACCATCCATAAGTCTAACCCATCTCCTACCACTCGTTCTAAATTTATTATTTATCATTATTATTATTTTGGTTTTGGTTTATTAAGGCACCGTTTCTCTGTGTATCCCTTGGCTGTCCTGCAACTCACTCTGTAGCCCAGGCTGGCCTTGAACTCAGAGATCCGCCTGCCTCTGCCTTCCAAGTGCTGGGATTAAAGGAATGTATTATCATGCTGGACTAAATTTAAATACTGTATACTGACTTCCTATGAATATATGGATGATTTTTTTTGAGGCAGGGTTTCTTGATGGCCTCGAACTCAGTGATCCATCTGCTTATGCCTCTGTAGTGCTCAGATTAAAGGCTTATGCCACTAACTCAGGCTCAAATATATGGACTTGTTTGTTTTTCTTTGAGACACAGTCTCATATAGCCCAGGCTGGTCTCAGTTGTGTAGCTGAAGAGGACCTTGAACCTGATCCTGCCTGTTGCTCCCAAGTATTGGAATCACAGATATGCACCATCCTACCTTACCTCTCCTTAGCATTACTCCACCCATGTTTTTTGTGATGGTTTAAATGAGAATGACCCCCACAGGCTTATATGTTTGAAATCTCTATTCTCAATTAGTAGAAGTATTTGGGAAGGATTAAGAGGTGTGCCTTGTTGGAGAAGGTGTGTCATTGGGGATCGACCTTGGGGTTTCAAAATGGCCAAGCCATTCCCAGTTAGTTCTCTCTGCTTTGTGCTTGTAGATGGAGATGGTATCTGAGCTCTCAGCTTCTGGTCCAGAACAATGTGTGCCTGCCTGCTTGCCTGTTGCCATGCCCCACCATCATGATGGTCATAGATTCTAACCTTCTGGAACAGTGAACCTCAGTGTAAATGCTTCTCTTATAAGTTGCCTTAGTCATAGTGTATTATCACAGCAATTGAAAAGAAACTAAGTTTTTAACCAGAAACTGACAAAATATCTGCCTTTTTGAAAAATTACCCTGGACTTCCCCCCCCCCACACTTTTTTTTTTGTGTGTATGTGTGGGGTGATATTTCAAGACAGGGTTTCTCTTGTGTATCCCTGGCTGTCCTGGATTTCACTCTGTAAACCAGGCTGGCCTCAAACTCAGAGATCTGCCTGCCTCTGCCTCCCAAGTGCTGGGATTAAAGGTGTGCACTGCCACTGCCCAGTGTTACTCTGGACTTTTCAAGGATCAAGGAAAATTGGAGAAGCAAAACTCTGAGTCACGGAGACTAGCTAGAAACCACAAAACAAAACAAAACAAAAAAAAAAAAAAACTGAAAGTACTTCAAGTGGCTTGTTAGAGAGAATTTGATCATAACAGGCATAAGTGAAAGAATTGGGCAACTGATTAATTCATTCTTTTCAAATGGTATTCAATATTGTTTTTTTTTTTTTTTTTTTTTTTTTTTGGTTTTTTGAGACAGGGTTTCTCTGTGTAGTTTTGCGCCTTTCCTGGGACTCACTTGGTAGTCCAGGCTGGCCTCGAACTCACAGAGATTCACCTGGCTCTGCCTCCCGAGTGCTGGGATTAAAGGCGTGCGCCACCACCGCCCGCCCGGCTGGTATTCAATATTGTTCAACAAACAAACAAATTATTTCAACTATTATGAAAGTTGATTTCAACTAACAGCACTGGAAAAAACAGCTATATGGCCTGATGCAATTTACCAAACAAGGGGACCCAAAGGAGGTCTGAGAGCAAGTGGAGATGATGCCAGTAGCTGTGGGATTGTGGGTCCTATGGAGAGATGCAGCAGGCAGGTAGACACAGGAGAGTCTGAAGCTCAGGAGAGAAATGAGGACAACACATGTGAGTTTGAGATCTGGACAGTGTAGGTGGAGTTTCTTATCAGGACTGCCAACTCCCAAATAACCACACAGAGACTTGTTATTACAAAAGCTTGGGTGATAGCTTAGGCTTGTACCACTAGCTCTTATATCTTAAATTAACCCATTTTTTAAAATTACTTCCTGCCTCCTGGCTTTATTACCTTTATTCTGCCCATGCTGCTTTTCTGCTTCATAATCTAATAAGGTTTCACTTCATAATCTTGGCTGTCCTGGAACTCATTTTGTAGACCAAATTGGCCTTGAATCTATGGCAATCCTCTTACCTCAGCCTCCTGAGTGCTGGAAGTGCAGAAATGAACTACCATGGTGAAGTGTTAGCTCCTTGCTATGAAAAGCAACTTGATTCAAACTGATGATTCTTCTTCCCTCACGTCTGTGGGAGTGGAGGTGCAACACCATACCAACATGATAAGCACTGTTATCATGTTGAAAGATACCATCTCTCCATGCAGGAGGCAGGTGGAATTTGGAGAACTCAAAAAAGTCAAGTGTTGCTGGGCATGTTGGTGCACTACTTTAATCCTAGTACTTGAGAAGCAGAGGCAGGAGTGTAGTCTTTCTCTGTCTTCGACAGTCAGCTCCCAAATACAACACAGAGCCTTATTAATTATGAAAGCTCGGCTTTGGCTTAGGCTTGTTCCTAACTAGTTCTTATAACTTAAAGTAACCCGTATTTTTAAATATACATTCTTTTACATGGCTCAGTTACCTTTACTCTGAACTGCCCATCCTGCTTCCTCCACATCTGGCTAGTGACTCTGCCTTTCTTCCTCTCTGAGTCCTCTCTGTCCCAAGAAGTCCTGCCTAACCTCTTCCAGCCTAGCTAATGGCCATTCAGCTCTGTACTAGACCAATCACAGTGACCTATCTTCACAGTGTAAAGGAATATTCTGCAACACAGGTGGATCTCTGTGAGCTTTGAGCTCAAGTCCTGGTCTACATAGGGAGTTCCAGGACAGCCAGGGCTAAATGGAGAGACCCTGTCTCAACCTCCTGCCCCCTCAAAAAAGACTAATCAGGGGTTGGAGATGGCTCTATGCTTAAGCACACCTGCTCATCCAGAGGCTCAGTTAGGTTCATTGCACTATGACAGGCAAGCTCACAACTTTAACTCCTGCTCCAGGGGTCTCAGATCGAAGCTCTGGTCTCAAGGCACACCCTCACTACTTGTACATGCACACACATGCACATAATTAAAAATAATTTTAGGGTTTTTTTTGTTTTTGTTTTTAAAGAATCGGATAATCAACCCGGCGGTGGTGGTGCATGCCTTTAATCCCAGCACTCAGGAGGCAGAGGCAGGCAAATGTCTGGTCTACGGAGTGAGTTCCAGGATAGCCAGGGAACAGAGAAACCCTGTCCCGAAAAGCCAAAAAAAAAAAAAAAGAAAAAAACAAAAGCCAAATAAAAGATTCGGAAAATCACAGCGCCTATCATTCATGGTTTATGGAATCAAGGTAACAGAGGCGCTCAGGACAGTAATGGAGCAGGTTTTCAATCCTCTCCTCCTCAGCCTGCAAACCGCCTTGCAGAGCTGGGCCATGCAGGCCTCATGCTGCAGTCCTCTGATCCTGGAGCGCTCAGGGAAATGGCCCGAAGCCCCGGGAAGCCGCTAGCTCCCGACTCCGCGGTGCGGGCATCTGCTCTCCCCCGAGGCCCACTGGTGCCCGGCTGCGACCCTGCGGGAGAGGCTGTGCATGCGGGCTCTCCGCGCACGCTGTGGTCGCCGGCCGCGGCCGCCGCCCTAAGCGCCGCCCGCCGCCCTCTCACCCCGCGGCGGCGGAAGCGGCGGGGCGGGCCGGCTGGGCCGGGGCGGGGCGCGAGCGGCATGGAGGAGGCGGAGGCCGCGGAGGCCGCGGCGCGCGGGGCCGAACTGTGCGGGCCCGAGTGGGGCCCGGGGCCCCTGAGCTGTGAGTGCCTCTCGGTGCGGGTCCCGGAGGGCTGGCGCGGGCTGGGTGGGTCTCCCGAACCTTCCGGCGTCCCTGAGCCCTGGGAGGAGAGGAGCTGAGCCCGATGGGATGGGGCGAGGGTGGAGGATTGGGGTGCGGGAGGTCGCTGTTAACTGGTCCACCCCGGGGCTGGAAAGGACTGGGATTTGCACCTTATAAGGACTGATGAGTCGTGAGAGTTGAGTTTCTGGCCTCCACTGAGGCTCTGAGTCTGGACTTAGTTTCTCCAGCCCCAGGGAATTTTCAGGTGATCCAATTCCTCTAAAGAATTTCTGGCAAGACCCAGAGAAGTTGAGCCACGTTGCTTAGGTCACACAGCTCAGCAGTTTGCTGAGAGAAGTGTTGCTCAGAAGTCCTCATCTCTCCAGAAGGCATTAGGCTTTGGGAGAAGCATCTTACCCCATGTGACTCTACGGTCCCCTCAGATTCCTGAAGTCATGGACTGGCCGGGACAGGGGTGACTCCCTAATCCAGTATGGATGACTGGAAGCCCAGTCCCCTCATCAAGCCCTTCGGGGCGAGGAAGAAACGGAGCTGGTATCTTACGTGGAAGTATAAACTGACAAACCAGCGGGCCCTGCGGAGATTCTGTCAGGTAAATGAGGTCCCACATGTCTGGAAGGCTGGCCTCCTCCTCACTTTAACCTAGCATAGACTGTGGACTAACTGCCCTGGCTACCAGGAAGAGGCAGCAGATTCCAGGAGGGGAACCTCTGTGTGTCACGACCTTCTCAGGCAGTGAT